CACTGCCACAGTACTCATCTTGCCTTTCCTCTACCTTTGTGCCTGTGGGGTGTGCGATAGATTTACCTCCACGTGGTGCACCTTGGGCAACGTATACTCATACGGCGAAAAAGTCTATTAACTGGCAGTTGACTTCTGACTTCAAACTACCCTCACCCCATTGTATGTCATATTCGACAACTTTCACACTACTCATCTCACCTTTTTTCCACTTTTGTGTCTGTCTCTTTTACATCTTTGAAACTCTCTTCTGTTCCTCCTCTCCCTCTCGACTTGTTTCACTTTGATGTTCCTCCTCCTCTGTGAAGCCTGAATTCAACTAAAGGGCTAATGAAACGCCTACCATTTGATATAACTAAATAAATATCTGCTGAACTAATCTACTTGCACATATCAGCAATAAAGACTACACCGGAATGCAAAAAGAAATACCACAAAGATGAGCACAAGGGTGTCAATGTGCCGGCAATAGAGAACGGCATATTAAAATATCAGGTAGTACTTATTTAACATTCGTCTTTGGAAAAATAAAGATTAGTCACTGCCATAATTAGGTGCGTGCACCGATGGGAGACGAACCTGATACCATACATACTGTGGTAGGCACACAAAAATAACACATCACATAGTAAAAAAAGAAACTCCGAAAATGCTTAAATGAAACTTTTGTCGGGAAAACAACTAAAACAGTCGCACATCATTTCACGGTAAAATGACGAGAGTTATTGCCATTGATCTTTTCTTCGAAAATGGGTTATTTGAATAGAATTAGATGAATGGAGAGAGAAAAAATTGTGAGTTAAGAGATTATCCCCATGGAATAAAATTAGTTTTTTTTTATTTTTTCAACGTTTTCGTTTTTAAAGGGAAAAAGGGCTGTCCAACAAAAAAGTCATTAGCAGCTTCTCAAAATAAGAGAACTCGCCAACCCCCCCCCCCCCCCCCCCCCCCCCCCACCTCCACCCCAAATGCATACTCTTATGATATTTTGGCAGTATCAACTTAGTTTGAACTAAATTGATCAGCGAGCATGCATTTAAATGCGCATTAATGTAGCTTTTACTTCCACAATGACCTGATAGTAGCGGAAATACACACACACACACACACATTCATGTTTGTTCGACTTAATTGTACTAAAGGAAGCTCAACTTTTCCCCAACTTTCACAACTGACCAAAGCGGTGGTCTTCTCATGTTAATGAAGGATATGTTTTTTTGAACAACTGTCCATGTGTGCACCAATTTCCTGCTGCGAAAAACGTCAGAGAAGGAGAGAGGAGATTGGAGGGAGGGAAAGCAATGTGAAATCATACACAAGCTAAACATGAGGCTGTTCACAATGTCAAAGATTTACACATAGTATCCTCCAATTATCACAATTCAGTTGACTATACAAATCACATAAACAATCAACGTGATAAGCAGAACCATGTAACTAGCCTCGTTATTATCGATCAGGAAATTACATCTAGTGTAAATCAACTCACCTTTTCGTTTTTTTTCCTTCTTAACTGGGGGGGTTGGAAGAGGTTTGCTCGGTGGAGAGATCATTGGTCGATCCTTTTTCCTGGAGAAAGAAAAGGAATTACGCAAGAGGGAAGCGTGAAATTCAATCAATATTCGTAGTTAAAAGAAGAGGAACCAAGCTATTTACAAAGTGAAAATAAAAAAGGAACAATGAAATTTGTGGGCGAAACATTCCACCACAATTAATACTGATACCGAAAGCCTATGAGATTAATATTAAATAAAGAAAAGAAAGTACGAGTTAAAATAACAATGATAAGGAAATGAAAAAAATTAATAGCATAGGAAAAAACCAAAATCCATTAATTCAACTAAATTAAACAAAAATACTCTGAAAAAAATTCGTCTAGGGTATAATTATTAATTAATTTATATATATTCAATAGCAAAGCGCACAAAAATTTTTAGCAAAGTAATGAAAAGCAACAACGCCATATTTGTTATAAAAAAAAGTTAAATAAAATCTCAAGTTAAGCTAATTTAATCATAATTTAAAAAATGGCCTAAAATTAAGTAGGGTAATAGAATGTCACATTTAAGCGAATTTAGTGGCTTACAAAGTGCTAGAAGATCTAACTGGAGGGGCTGGTGCGGAAGAATTAGTTCCAATATCTCCATAAAGAAAAGTGGCTGAAGAAGCAGCAGGTAATTGAGAGCTTGTACCGGTAGAAAGTCGTTGCTGAACTGCCGTTGACTCCTGCATCATAAATTCAGCAAGGCTCGCATTTAACTTAGACGTATTTGCAGACATTTAGTCAAGTAAGCATCCAAAATTTAATAGTCCAAACAAGATTCCATGTAATTTTGAGTGCCAATTGTATTATTGAATAGCAAGTCGGGAAACTACAAACGACGTACAGAGAGCACAAAGACAGCCAACCGACAATAAAGACAAAGCAAGGTCCTTGAAAATTGGTGTTCAAATCGACTAGCAGCGTTGTTCAAATGTAGTTTCTTAAATAATATTTATGATTTAATCATGTCATTAATCTTATGCAAAAAACGTTAAATAATATATTATTGTATTTTTTATAATATATGGGTGGGTGAATTCAATGTTTTATAGTAATTAAATTTTAGCTTCGATTTAAAAATCGATCCAATGAAAAATTATACCTCGTATACACTTTCATTGTTTTTTTACTTTATATTTTACTATTTTTGAGTAGCGTGCTAATGAGTTGAAAAAAATGTTGTTTGGAGCAGATATCGTGGCACATAAAGTAAATACGAATATTTTGGTCTCATTGTTTTGAAACTCAAATAGTTATAAATACAATTTTTAGACATCATCAAACAGATTCGGCTAAACTACTAGGATGAAGCAAACTTATACATTTATACAATTTTCATCTAAAATATACAGTCAAACATCTTGTCGAATTTGTGCAAATGTTTTTCGATAAGATTAATGAATATCCTAATCATAAGTACAATTTAAACGAATAAAGTGGCCGCCCAATACACAGGCTTGAAACTTAAGTCTGTGCTGACACCTCCAAACGGATCTGACTAAATTAGTTTGCAATGTTTTTATAAAGGTTTCATTAGGAGCGCAGCATAACTTACATAGTTTCAAGTTTATGATGACCACAATAAGACATTAACGAAACGATAATACACAAACTGAATGTGAAAAATTAAAACATACTTAACTCCAATTTAGTGTGTCTTCCAAAAAACGGAAAAAACGAAAACTAGATCTTTATAAACATAATATAAAGTTATAATGAATTCGATTTATAAATGCATTTATGCAATAATGCAATGGTAGATATCTAAGCTAAACACAGCGCTAGCCATTTGCTTTCTCGAACTGGACCGTTATTGAAATCTGAGACAAAATATCTGAAATTGCTAATTTTATATAATGTTTTAAAAATTAATGCAAAGCGATATTATAGATCTTCATATGTGTATCTTGTAAAAAATCTAATACAATTCAATCTCTATCCTCTTTATACTGTACTCGATTTCACCTACAAAATAAACGCGATTATTCGACTTTCGTCTTTTTCCGCCTTTTTAGTGATTATTTCAGCCTAATGTCAAAAAATAAAAGGCGAATTGTATGCGATGACACGAGCTCCGGTAAATATTTATATAATAATTGAAAAACATTGATATGCCTCTATGCTATTTTTATCGTTTTTATGTTGAAGATTAATGTTCCCATTTGCTTATATTTTTTAGTTGTCTCAATATTATTTACAGATACACTTTTAAATGTTTTTTATTTACTTTAATTCAATCATTTTATTCAAAATCCTAGACGATGATTTTCAGTCACCAAAGATAAAGTCGAAAAAGCTTGCTAAGAGTTCACGACTCAATTCTTCAGAAGATGGTAAAGTATTATTAGTTCACCTGACCAAAAATAATCTAACTAGAGAAGCCTAATGCGGTCTCCAAGAAGCGGGCATCTCATATTTCCAAACGGAAAATTCCAACATTTGAAGAAGGCGAAGCGGTTGATGAACTCGAGCAAAAACCGGCTCCTCCCTCAAAGCGTCGGAAATCCATATTTGCATCAGATCTTATTGATCCTGACAAGGGTTCTTCCAAAAGGAAAGTTCAACTAACTTTCGAAGAGAGTCTTAAGAAAGGCACTGAAAAAAATAAGTCCGATGCACCAACCAAAACCGCTAAAACATTGCGCGACTTCTTTTCAAAATCAAACGTTGATGGCCAGCCTAAAAAAGAAGTTAGAAAGGAAGTGAAGGTTGACGATTTCTTTTCTTCTTCCTCTACTCATAAGGTAATTTGGTTTTTTTGCATTGTCGATAAGCTCATTCTTTTTGTTGCTTTAGACTCCAACTAGAAAGGAGTCGGTATCTCTAGTTCCCGAGACACCCCCCTGCTTTCAAGATGATGATGATGATGATGGAATTCGTCTTTCGCCTTCGGTAGATAGAAAGTCTCTTGGTCCTGATGGTATAAGGAAATCGAAGCCTTCTGTCACTAAGATTGATGATAATTTAACTTCTAAGAGTAGTCCCAAAACTCCAGTTAGTTTCCAATTATTTTAATTGAATATGTGTATTTCTCTGTTTTTTCGTGTTTTTTTTTTTAATATGCTTTAATTGTTTGCATAGTCTAGTAGTTTTACTGTCTGAAGAGATTTTTACCGACGAAATGTCTGGAGGGTTTATTTGATGGGGACTTTTAGACGAATTCTCATTTATCTTTCTCAATTTTTTTTGCACTTAATTAAATAAAAACAATTTCAGACTTTAGACAAGCTAATGGCTTTTGTCTTTCAAATTGGCAGACTACTTACGCGTTTCCTTGGCAGTTAACTAATGGGTTGCTTTCTTCTTCGACCTTGACCACGTATTTTCCTTCCCCGATAACATTTTTATTTTGCCTCATAATCTACTTCCAATATCGATTCCTCTGCAATCGCATTTTTAAGGGTGGAAATGGGACTGGTGACGGATAGTGAATACGTCCAGGAAAAGAAGTGACACGAAATTGAGGAAACGAGATGAATGTTAAGGAGAAACAACAGCGTAGAATGCCTCTGTTACCTCTTCCCATAAGTTCTTTTCATCCAAGAGAGTCCACGTTTAGTTGGGGATGAGTTGATATCCTCGTAGGTTACTGAATGTACTTTTTATTGAGCCTTGTGCAGTTATATGCATTCAGACCCTTTCAAAGGCCACTCCATTCTACTATTATTTCCACATAATTTGTAATCTTTTAGTCGCCGAAAGGTACGCTGAAGTCGGGCGATGAGCGCAGGACGCCATTGAAGAAGGTATGTAGTCGTCTTTTGATCGGATAATTTTCATATTGAAAATTTATTTCTACTACCGTATTAGTAATAATTTCAATGTACTTTTAAATTGAGTGGTGCATTTGATATTTACTACTTTAACTTCGCCATTCACCTCCTAAGCCTGTTTAACTAGAATGTCTTTTAATTTTCGTTTTTTTTTCGGCTGTAGAGAAATAGCCTAGACTCCGATAAAAAAAGACACCTCTATATTGTCCCTTCGCTTTGTCCTTATTTCTTAATTTCATTGAGGTCACAATTTCCCCAATTTTTCTCTTATTCTTCCTGCTTTTTGCCAGTGTGTGGTTTGAAAAATACTCTTGCCCCTACTTACCTTCAAATATCTGCAAAGAAATTTGTGTCACTGTAGGTCTAACAGTCTTTAGATTTAATAACTTTTTGCTTGATTGAGAATGCTCACAGTTAGGTTTCGAATCTATTTATTGAAGGCGAATGTTTTACCAGGGAAAGATTTGGTTTCTAGTCCAGTCTATTCTCTTTCTGCCTATGCTTAAATTAAATTTGCTCTTAGTGATGGTCTGTGGGAGACGTTCACGCATTTTTTATTTACGCAAAGGAAGCCTTCTATAAGATCGCTTTCTCAAAAGCCTCCTCTTTGTCACCCTAGGTCTCATCTGCAACTCATAAAGATAAGACGACACGTTCTCCTAAACCCTCAGATGGCCTGAAATCCCCTTCGAAAAGCGTAATTTTTCCTAAATTTTCTCTTTTTTACCTAAATTTTGTCGTTCTTACCACTCTTAGTAGTATCTATCTTTGTATTATTTTCTTCTAGGTACCTCAAGAATCAGCAGCTCCATCCACGCCAGCTCAGTCGAAGCACTTTCCTGAAGAGCAATCTACTACTACTCCCAAACGAACTCCAGGTGGTGGTAGGGCCTCATTCTGGCAATTCCAAAATCGTGATGGTCCCCAAGCCTTGGGATCTAGACCTATTCCACAGGTTAGGCGCAAATTTATTGTACTTTTTTGTTTTGTTATTTCTAAACAATCCTGGTCTTCCTTTGAGACTTCTCAACACTTCACTTGACTCACAGCATTGGCCATTTTTATTCTATCTTGTTACAATTTTCCAGGCTCTACGTAGGTACTTAATTTAATTGGTCTAATTTAATAATAAGGACAATTCGTGTTTTTCGAAATAAAAGCGAAAGTTTTTGTTTAAATAATAAATACCACTTGGAAATATCGTCTTTAATTCGCCCCGTCAGTTGGTTTTCGCAGGACGTCGTCGTCAGCGTTGAGGGGTCATTCAATCGTCCCAATTTCCTCAGTTTGGGATTTAAGCTTTTATACCAGAATGCCTACTTTCACAGTGAACAGTAAGCACGAATTTTCCCAATCTACGTACCCCGTCTGAGAGATAGAGAGATCAATACACGGGTTTATTCCATGAGACGTGTTGACATTTATGTCCATTTGGAGATTTCTCCACATTTGTCGAAACTGCGTGTGTTCAAACGTTACCTTTCAGATATCTTTATTAGAAGATTGCATTTTTAGTTGCCATTCCATCGATGTTGAGTTGTTTTCTACTTGCCAGAACTGGCTGTTAGACGGTTTGCTTTTCCTCTAGGGTACATCAATGTGTTTCAATGGCAAATCCTTCGTAATCACTGGAGTGTTGGAATGCATCGAGCGAGATGACGTGCAATCCCTAATCGAACGCGGTGGTGGTCGTGTCACTAAGGCCGTCAGCAAGAAGACAGCCTACCTCGTGGTTGGTCGTGATCCTGGCAACTCCAAAATCGATAAAGCTGCTAGTCTTGGCACGAAACAGATAACTGAGGAGGAGTTTTTTGAACTGGTTGATAAGGGATTCAATTCCAGTAATGCCAAGAAGGATGATTTTCCTAGTCTTGGATCATCTGTCACTATCTCCAAGGAACGTCTAATGACATCATCATCATCATCCACGAATTACCTAGAGAAGGAGAAAGTGAAAAAGACCAAATCCCCGGTTATGCTCACTGATAGACCAGTGCTACCTACCTCCCAAACTACTTCCAAGCTGGAACCTTCGCAGTCATCACTACTTACTCTCGGTATTCAAGAGCTCTGGATAGAGAAATATCGACCGAAATTCAGAAGGCAGTTAGTTGGGCAGAATGGGCCTTCTAGCCCAGCTAATCGATTATTTAATTGGTTATCTTCTTGGCAGGAAGATTACGCAGCTGGTAAGGTTTTTTGTCTCTCTTATGATGGATTATTTACTTAAATGCTTATTAGTAGTTCGGACATCGTTTCAGGTCGCAAGGAAAAGGGCTATCAATCGGCTCCTCCATGGGCTTCCGGCAATTCATCAGATACCGGTTCCTGGGCTCGAGCAGCCCTTCTTTCGGGCCCTCCAGGAATTGGAAAGACCTCTACCGCTTCGGTAGTTTGTACTGAAGTTGGTCTGGCAACTATTGAGCTGAATGCATCTGATACTCGGTCGAAGAGGTCACTGAAAGATGAGGTCTCTCAAGCCTTAGGAATGCGCTCCCTCGCTGGGTGTCTCACAGGTTCTGATGGTAGGTCCTCCTCTCTCTTCAAGTATTGAAGATACAAATTAGGTAGACTAGTATACGCTTTTAATCTTATTGCCTATGGTGGAACAGCGATTTCAAGTTTGAAAATATCAAGTCTACCTTAAATGTTTATATTAAGAGAGGGATTGGTGTTGTTACTCAATATTGTAATTTCAGAAGAACGCTGTCAGTACTATTAGCAATTTATTTAGAAGAGATGAGAGCGGAAACTTTTAGTCTCCCTCGGTATATTTAGAGGAGCTCGAATGAATAGTCTTCCTCCTCAGCTGGATTAAGTAGTGCAAAAACGCATTGGGGGTGGGGGAGGTGGATTACTATTCTACTACTTACGAAAACGCTCTTCTCTTGTAGCTAAGGCATCATCTCTTACCTCCCACGTTCTGATTATGGACGAAGTCGACGGTATGGCAGGAAATGAAGATCGTGGCGGGATGCAAGAACTCATTGGAATCATCAAGACATCCAAAGTTCCAATTATTTGCCTTTGTAATGATCGGCAATCACCAAAAGTAATTCTTTACGCACCAGAAAAGTGAAAACTTTTGTGATTGATCCTTACTTGTGCCTATTTCTGTAGGTTCGTTCTCTCGCAAACTATTGTCTAGATCTACGATTTCACAGACCACGTATTGAGCAAATTAAGTCTGCCGTGTTGTCACTCGCCTGTCGTGAAGGTGTTAACATTAATACGGCTACTCTCAATGAAATAATCGCTGCTAGCAATCAAGACATGCGACAGGTCTGTAATAACTACTTAAATCCTCCGCTTACATTTAAGTATAATATATCACACGTTTCTCATTTTAGGTGATAAACTCTGTTCAACTCTGGTGTATGAATGGTGGAAGTACAACTACACCAGATTCAGATATAACAGCAAATGCAGCAGTTGTTCACAAAGATCTCCATTTAAGTCCTTTCGAGGTGATCCGCAAGGTCTTTGCGGTCAACAATGAAGAGAACAAGCCAATGAGATTTAATGAAGCTCTAGATCTGTTTTTCCAGGACTACTCTATTGGTCCGTTGTTCGTGCAAGAAAACTACCTCAATGTTCGACCTCTGGCTGCAAAGTGAGTTGTTTTGTTAATAGGACGATTGTCTATTTCATCTCAGTGTTTTGCATTTTCTGTTTATCAGAGTGAGGTGGTTGTTTCTAAATATTGCTTTTTTTGCACAAGGCTGGTTATAATTATTAATTTCAATTGAATGACTGAAATAATGTATTTTCACACTAATTTCCCTTTTTTCAGTGGCAAAACTCAGCAGACGCTGGATCTGATGGCTGTGGCCGCTTCAGACATAGCACAGGGCGACATTGTGAGCCGTATGATTCAATCATCAGGTGGATGGTCGCTTCTTCCCACTCAAGCCGTCTTCTCATGCCTTCGTCCTGGCCGTCTTCTTCGTGGACCATTGCCTGGAGGCCCGGGTGGCGTTTTGTTCCCCTCGTGGCTTGGAAAGACCTCCACTCAAAACAAAAATGCCCGATTGCTGGGCGAGTTGTCTCAACATATGAGGCTGTCTACCCATGGAGGAGCTACGGATCCAAGATCCCTTCTACTGGATTACCTCCATCCTCTTGCTATTCGTTTGTCAGCTCCTCTTAAAGAAGGCGATATTGACAACGTGTTGAAGTGTCTTGACAATTATCAGCTCCTTCGAGAGGATATGGATAACATTATGGATTTAACCACTTGGCAGGGCCGACCTAGTCTAATGAAGACTATCGATGCCAAGGTGTGCTTCTTACTTACCTACTTAATTTGGAATAAGTTTTTATTTATTTCAAATGGCAGGCGTTTTGATAGTTATCATTAGCCCTTTAGCTGACTTTGGGCTTCATAGACAGGAGGTGACAAGAGAGGGTCAGAATGATGATTCACAGATTTAAAGGAGAAAAAAGGTGAGGTGGGTCCTGTGGAAGTGGTGGAATATGACATTCGGTGGGGTCATGGCAGTTTGAAGTGAGACTGTTTATAGACTTTTTTGTCGTATGAGTATACGTTGCCCAGGGTGCACCACGCGGAGGTAAGTCTATCTCACACCCCACTTTCTTAATTTGGAATAAGTAATATTGAATGAAACAGCTCAAATGCTTTGATAATTAGTCATTCTATGGAGATTCGAAGTCTGCATTTTTTCGTGAATTTCAGCGCTATTTTTTCATTTATCTACTTTGCGAATAGCTTGGAGTAGAGGTTCATGTCAAGCTATTCAACTAAACATCCTCCATTTCACAACGTACAGCGCAATCGTCAAGACAAATAGACAGTGCCAATAATTGTAACGATACTCTCTATTTACAATGAGTTTTGCCTACACAGTTACTTTGAATTTACCTCGAGTAAAGTTGCAAGTATTTTGAAGGTCAGCGNGTGCACCACGTAGAGGTAAGTCTATCGCACACCCCATGTTTGTGCATAGTTATATGCGTCATAGGGTCAATGGTGTGATCCTAGCAACGTCATTCCATTACACGTATAAAGAGCCGCATGGCGATCGTGAATATCAATCTGGTGAGGGTAGTTTGAAGTCAGAAGTCATTTGCCAGTCAATAGACTTTTTTGCCGTATGAGTATACGTTGATGCCAGTTAATAGACTTTTTTGCCGTTTGAGTATACGTTGCACAGGGTCGCACAACGTGGAGGTAAGTCTATCGCACACCCCATTCATTAAATATATCACGGAGGTAAGTCTATCGCACACCCCGTATTTTAGACTTTTTTGTCGCATGAGTATACGTTGCCCAGGGTGTTAGACTTTTTTGCCGTATGAGTATACGTTCCCCAGGGTGCAGTTAAAAGACTTTTTGCCGTATGAGTATACGTTGCCCAGGGTGCACGGACTTTTTTGCCGTATGAGTATACGTTGCCCAGGATGCACTACGTAGAGGTAAGTCTATTGCACACCCCTGGCTGAGAAATTATCACATAACGTGGCGGCTAATCCTAGGTGAGTTCAGCTAATTTCTAATTTGGATTTTGTGATGACATTAAACTTAGGTGACAAAATACGTGAGTGTTGTGAAGAATTGTGCGAGATCCCAAAAGAGAGTAGAATTGGGATGGTGGGGGAAGGGAGGGGGGTGGGGGGGAGAACCACACTAACAAGGAAGTGATTAGTCTACTCATGGTAATGAAAATAAACAACTTGTTGGCACATGACAATTCGCTATGGCAAGTTAAGATCAACGCAGTAATAAACGTCTCAAGTTCTACAGTGAACTTGGCAACAGTCCTGAGGTGGCAACAGGGTCAATCACTGCAAGAACCACTATGTGGTCGAAATAATTTAGACAAAAAAATAAGATAAGCGATGATTTAGATAGAATTATCCCAAAAATAGAATTTTTCGAAAGTACGGTTGTAAATCATTACAGTGCAATGCGCATGTGCTTAACTCGATTCCTATCATTTTTTTCAATTTGACAACGGATACCTCATGTCGGTCTTAGCCATTAACTGCTACCGGGTTAAACCCCCCCCCCCCCTGCAATTCTTTGAAGGATAAGCACCTCTGTACTAGCAGAATTGTCATCTAGGGCACTACCAATCCTTTGGTCTCAATTGTATCGATCTCAGAGTGATTCTCGCAGAGTTTGACGTTGCTGTCACCTCAGGACTGCTGCCAATTTCACCGCAGAACTTAAGATGTTTATTATTGCGCTGATCTCAGGTTCCCGTAGTGAATTGTCATGTGTCATCAAGTTGCTTATTTTAATTACTAAGATAAGGCAATTAAGGGGTATTTGAGTAGGCTTGCCACTTTCTTGTTGGCATGATTCTCTCTCCCCCACCCCCATCCCCTCCCTCTCCTCAATTTTACTCTCTTNAATAAGTTTTTATTTATTTCAAATGGCAGGCGTTTTGATAGTTATCATTAGCCCTTTAGCTGACTTTGGGCTTCATAGACAGGAGGTGACAAGAGAGGGTCAGAATGATGATTCACAGATTTAAAGGAGAAAAAAGGTGAGGTGGGTCCTGTGGAAGTGGTGGAATATGACATTCGGTGGGGTCATGGCAGTTTGAAGTGAGACTGTTTATAGACTTTTTTGTCGTATGAGTATACGTTGCCCAGGGTGCACCACGCGGAGGTAAGTCTATCTCACACCCCACTTTCTTAATTTGGAATAAGTAATATTGAATGAAACAGCTCAAATGCTTTGATAATTAGTCATTCTATGGAGATTCGAAGTCTGCATTTTTTCGTGAATTTCAGCGCTATTTTTTCATTTATCTACTTTGCGAATAGCTTGGAGTAGAGGTTCATGTCAAGCTATTCAACTAAACATCCTCCATTTCACAACGTACAGCGCAATCGTCAAGACAAATAGACAGTGCCAATAATTGTAACGATACTCTCTATTTACAATGAGTTTTGCCTACACAGTTACTTTGAATTTACCTCGAGTAAAGTTGCAAGTATTTTGAAGGTCAGCGTTGCTGTAATTAGCCGCCTTTCAGTATTATGTCGGTAGATTCTCGATCCTATCAGTAATTCATCAAAGGTGTCGAGGCCCGAAGGTGGCATTAAAACAAATGATCTTTTTTAAGGTGAAATCCGCTCTCACTAGGAGTTACAATAAGGGATCACACCTTGTACCCTACGCGACTGAACTCATTGGAGAGGGCAAGAAGAAAGGCAGAAAGAAGACAGAAGTATTCGTTGATGGCGAGGAAGGTGAAGCCAATCAGCTTCTTGGAGATGTCTCCGAGGAGAGCAGTGCTGAAGACGAAGCAGAGATTCAAAAACTGGCCAAAGTTGTAAGTGGGCTTCGCCATGACTTCCGCTTTATAGAAATATCTCTTGTGCTATTTAATGTCTCCGTCTTTTTTTTGCCTCGTTTGTGCAGAAGCCGATCGGAAAGACATCTTCCAAGGATAACGATTCTACATCGACGTCTTCAAAGGCTCCTAAGAAAGCCCGAGCTGCTGGAGGTGGGCGCAAGAAGAAAGAGACCTAGTTTTTTATTGAAATGAACTATTCAACTAAAGAAATCGATATTATATGTGTTAAAATTATTGAGAGATGTGAGAGAAGATTGTATCCCTGTTTTTTTGTAAAGTTTGAGTGCTTGCTTCACGAAGCTGTCTTTTTTGTTTTTCTACTTGAGGAGAAGAAAACGGTAATTTCGACTGGTGATGGGCAAGTTTACTTTATTCGCGTCTGGACTATTAGCATAGTTACTCCTTTTCTTAATTTCGTCATAGTGAACTCCAAATTATTTATCTTACTAGATGATCTTGAGTAGTTGCGACAATTTAACTGCTGACAAATCAGTTTTCCATAGGAACTTTATAATGCTAAATGGTTTAAGTGGACTAAAATTAGTCTTTCGAAATTGAAAATCAAGTCGATTATTTATTTATTTATATCGAATGGCAGGCTTTATGATAGTTATCATTAGCCCTTTAGTTGACTTCAGGCTTCACAGAGGGAGATGAATATTAAATCGAAAAAAGTCGAGAGGGTGGGGGG